AGCAACTCTAAGTATGAGTTAGTGATATTAAAGTATTTTTCATTTTTACTTTTCTGGTCACTAAAATATATTTGGCTATGCTATTATTGCTTTTGTCAACACAGTTATGGAGTTTATATTCATCCTAGAGATTTACTAACAAAATCAATTTCAATATATACAATTCATGCTATAATGACCATCTGAGGAGCTAATGAAAAAGCGTACTGTAATAAATGATTGCTGTTTGGAATGTTTGAGTTTCAAAATGGTGCAAAACAAACTTAATCTTTCATGCAAAAAAAATATATTTTTGCATCAAAGTACAATCTTATAATTTAAAGTATTCTATACAGAATTATTCTACCTCTTTTCTCATTCTCTGGAGCTCAAGTGGCTAAGATCACTAAACATGTGTAATTTGTCCGAGATTCAAATTCGATGAACAGGCTTGTTGCATAGGCATGTTCATGGTTTTCTCCAATATCTAACATAAATATGAACTAGTTTTCCTTCTAATATAAGTGTTTTAAAAACCTTTTACTGCTTTCCTTTAACAACAGAACTAACATACCTACTAAGGAAGACAGATTTTGGATTCCCTGTTATGTTGTCTTTCACCAAATTAAGAAAGATAATTACAGAACTTTGATTGTCTAACATAGAAAGGAGTGATTAGCAATCAGATTACCTAAAACTACTGAAAGTTGTTAATTAAATAGGATTATACTTTTATTGCAAAATGAAAGTTGGTAAAAAGCATAACATTTGCCCATTTAAAATCAGTGTAGTAAAATTATTTCAGTGAAAAACAAATAACAAATCCATCATGATCATGATACATAATGCATTATACAAGATATTTAAAAAAAAAAAAAAAAACTCTGCGAAACCAAATATTTCTTGAACAGTTGGCCACAGACTATCAAGGTCAGAAAACTTATCTTACTTGATTAATTTTACAGCTATGAATCAAGAGTCTATAACCAACCATTCAAGAGAGATTTAATCTCTTTTAAGCACTTTGTATATGAAAATTAATCTGGCATTTATTATTCTGATTTTGATGATCTGCATATGGCACACAAATAAATCAAAATTCATCAAAATGATGGACTTAATAAAATTTCATTATAAACCATATTACATTACGAGATTCATTACAAGCTGTTTAATAATATTTGCATTCATTTACCTTTTCAAATAATCTGCATCATATATAAAAAAATATTTGCTGTCATATTACTACTACTAACTCTATACTATAGATTTTCGACATCAGTTTTATAAATAAAGTGGCATGGTTGAGCATTCTGATAGCTTAATACTCTGATAAATCAGAAATATTTTATTTTCAGTGAAGCACATCAACTAACACAAACCTATGACAAGTTACAGTTATTTAATACTCTGTGTCTTCTTTACTAAAAAAGCAATCATACTGATCTAATATGCAGTGGATTCTCTTAACCAACAGCAATGAGAGCATACTGATTCTTGATAAGAGATTTTTCCTGATAATTGAATATATATTTCTGAAATTTCGAGTTCTGTTTTGCCTTCTGTAGAAATTGCAGCATGCAAGTCTACTTATTTTCGATCTATCAGCCACTATTAAATAAATAATATCCAAAATCATACAAATTATTTAAAATTGAAACATGTACACAGAATTTTATTCTTCATACAAATAAACATTTTAAAATTATCATACATGAAAGTTGTCAATTTCTTAATGATGACATATAAACTTTGAATGTCTGCTTGCTCATGAAATGATTACCGAAATTTTAAAAATTCAGTGAAACTTCATAACATCATATATTGACATAAATGAACATTGCTCAGCAAATTTGGCAGCTTTCTTCCACCTAACTCTTATTCTGCATGTCATCTTCCTCTTCATCATCTCTTCTCCAAACTTGTAACTAAATCAGAAATGTCAAATGTGGGTGCCAGATATGTTTTAAAACCAACAGAATCTGTATTACTCAACTCATAATCTATGAACATGATAGGGTACAATTTACAAGGACAATGAAATAAAATAATATTCTTTACAGCTCTTCAGGCTAGATTTTTTTTGGAGGGGGGGCTTATTTGATTATGCAAAACACTCAAGGGCTTATCTGCCTAAGAGAAGAGATATCTTCATAGAAGACTTTCTAAGGGAAACTGACTCATATGCACGTTACACATAGGAAAAACAGTGAAAATGTACATGCAGCCAGATTATTCGCCGAGGTTTGAACTCCAGATGGAACTACATATGCTGTCTTTCATTCTGATTTCTTTCTAAAAAATATCGGTTTCAAATTTCATACATGAATGCATAAAAATGGACTGGTAGCTCTTCTTTACATTCGGAATAATTCATTGAATCGATGAGGTGGCAGAAACATAAACAAATATTTTCCACATTTAAATCTTTCAGACTTTTAGCCCATACTTTGTTTCTTATCTTATGTACCTAAATTTCTAATTTATATTTACCTTTAAAAGTGGCTTTACTTTGATGTTGCCAGTTAACTGGATGCTAATTTCAAGGGATTTTATTAGACACTAAATTTTATTTTAAAAATGTAATTAAAATTCCTAGAATAAGATAATAATTTAAAAGTTTTGGGTTTCTTCAGAAAATTCAATTTATTTTCTATACAATAAACTGCATTAGACAGAAATAGTTCCAAGAAGCATTCAGTTACACCATTTTGCAGTCAAATAATTCATGCAAAACTTATGAGTATTCTATATAATTTAAAACTTAAATACACTGAAAATGGAGTATCGCACACCATTTTTGACAATACAACATTTTGGGTAAAAAAAATAGTACTTTTAAGCAGAAAAAGTGCTTTTGTTGAAGCAAATATTTTCACCAGTGACTATTTCACAATTACTAATTTATCATAACAATTAGCTGCACAGGGAACATAAATCACAATATATAGAAAGTCAATGAAAATTTTAAATTTCATAATTGAAAATATTATTGTCATGATAGTCAATGATGGATAACTGAACTTGTGCTGTCATTTGAATGGAGAACTATACATTTTTCAACCATTGCCCTACAATAAATTTAAAGATAGTTTCACAATCTAACATGACTGAACTTTCATCGCTGTAAAACAAATGAAATAATAGACAATTTCATGCATTATTTTAAAATATACATAAATAAGGCCATCACTGTTAATTAACAGATTGTCTGAATGAGAAATAATCACTACATCATTAAAAAATATTATTTCTACCTAGAAATATTAAAACACTAGTTGATAAAGATAATTTACCTTAACACTTTAAGATTTAGTCTCACTGAACTGTTAACTAAAAGTTATAGACTTACAGATTCTGAAAAATATTTTTAAATGTCAATATCCAGTTTTTCCTATTTTCAGCATTTGAAGTCTGAAGGTATACTAGGTATATATTATGCAGACTAAGTAATTACTGTTGCTGAATACTGCTGATTTTTCAGTGATATTAATACCTATAAAGCTCTTCCCCAACCCCACTAAGCTACAAAAATGCACCAAGATGCATTAATTTTCAGAATACATAGATTTCTTAAAATTTTAAATTCTTTCTCTCTCTCGCTTCTCTCTCTCTCTATATATATATATATATTAGAAAATGCAGTAAAAGTATTTAACCATTAATCAAAGGATTAGAACAGCTATTAAGTTGCACTTGAAACTAATTCATAATTTTCAGCATATTGTTCAACAAGAAAATAATAATTATATTATTTGGCAGAAAGAATTTCTTCAATAAATAAATGCTCCATTAAAAAAATTAGCTTATATATATATACATTTATTTATTCATTTCAAAAGTAAATTTACATACAGTGCATCTCTGATATTTTAGAATTTACAAGCGGCAGAATAAAAGTTTTTATCATGAATGAAACTTTACAGATGACAGTTATTCAGAGTATTTAAAAAGGATTCCATCCTTTGATTCACAGACCATTATTCCAGATTAAAAAACGAATCAATAAGACAGGTTTCAGATTACATCAACTTTAGTCATGTTGCATCTTTTAATAAAACCACAAGACTTAACCCTTTGACTATAAATTAAAACAATATAAAAAAAATTTAAGTCAATTCCTACTTAGGTAACCAAAGAAAAATTTTAAAAATACAAAAAAAAATTTTTTTTTGATATAAAAAAAATTTTAATACAAGAAAAAAATGTATTAACATTAAGTGTCATCCACTACAAGTTAAAAAACTTATTTGAACTTAAGTGGATGAATAAAAAGTATTTTATTAACGATTGAAAATTTGAACAATATATAATGAGAGTGTGAACTAATAGTAGGAATTTTAAAAAAGATTTCTGCATTTTCTATCCAAGTGAACAAAATATGTCATAAATAAGGTAATTTTAGCATCTGAGATTTTTTTGAGAAACAGTTTTCAAGAGAAAGGTTGGGACGCGTATGTCCCAGCCGTAGTTAATGGTGGGATATATATACGTCCCACACGCAGCAATTAACTTACTAGAAGCACACATATTATTCTGGAAAACTTTATTATATGAAATAGACTTTACATCATCTGGTACAGGGTAAAGCATTCTCTACATAACCCAACATTATACAGCACCCAGCAGAATATTAACCCAGCAGTAATTTTTACACCTTTAGTGGGTCATATATGTCCTGTTAATAGGCAAAGGGTTTAATTTTTAAGCAGGCCTCTATGAAGAAAGTTCGGTAAGCAAGTTATTCCTTATTGTATAAAAAGTAGTTTAAGAAAAGAAATCAGTCAACTATATATGCAAAATTACTCCTGAAAAAAAAAAAAACTGCCAACTTGTAAGAGTTAACCATTTTCCTCAACTGAAAATAATTAATTCCAAGAACCATGTATTAAATTTCATTTAATTCCAAATTGTAGCACTTTTACAAATAGTAATTTGAACCTAGTACTCCTAAATTAATGATTCTCTAACATAAAATGCATCACTTAGAAGTTTGCATTCAAGAACTCAAACACATAGAATTTTTTTTTTTTTTTTTACATACACTTGTTCAGTGTCATTAGTTGGAATTGGCCCTTTAACTATCTCGTCGCAGAAAATGTTCCCTAGGGTGCATCACAGAGAGTAGACCGACAATAATACCCAAGAGAAAAAAGGATACACATGAACAACCATGCTTTACATGAATGTTGAACCCACATCTAGGAAATCTAGAAATGAGCTTTTGCTAACTACTGTACTGTCTAGGGTGACATATGCATGGTACTTACCTCTTCAAAGAATCTATCAAACTTCATATATTTTTACTATAAGACTGTATATACATAATCTTATATGGCATGAATGTTTGATTATTCGAAACAATTTTTAAAATGGAATAATAGGCCTGTAACTAGCCATTCAAGAGCTATTCAATCATGCAGTCCTTTTTAAACACCCTGTCTTACACAGTGAAGATGTTTGAATTGTTATAATATTAATTTTTTAAAAAAAAAGTTATTTTGCTTATCATAATCAGGTGCCATTTATAAATCACTTTGCCTTCGCATATCAGTCTGAATGACAAGTGACAGCTTTATAAATACAATTCAAAATCAATTCTTTTGGATGAGTAAAATTCTGAATCCTGTTTGCCAACTTGCCTCACAAGAACTCCATCATCGAAGTATTTTTCTTGGGTCCAGTGTAACATCTGAGATGTTGGATAAGGTCCATATATTTTAGCATCCTCTGATGCATCCCATTTGAATTCCCACATGACTTCAGAATTAGGATCAACAGCTTCTAAAAGGGAAAATAAAATTACAAATTGTGAACAGGTAACCTTTTAAAAAATATAAAACACAGAAGTACCCTGAATATTCAGTTGAAATAATCATTCAGTTGAAAGAGTATCCACACGAATACACGGTAAAATATAAAAAGTTGCACACAGAAAAACATATGACAAATGGAGATGAGAAAATGCTTTGATGCTATTTAAAAGTAATCATGGAAACATGGTTTATGATTAATTTCCTTAATGAAAATAAAACTACTTTACTTTTTCAAGTGTATAACTTAGCTAAAATAAAATAAGATAAACAAAAAAGTAAAAGCCTCTCATATGGTTACAGAAAAAAAAGGGGGGAAAGACAATTATTCAGATTCTTTAAATATCTGAATGATTTAGTTATACTCTAAGTTAAACTGATTACTTTAAATTCTGTTTTAATAGCATTTTGAATTAGTAAAATAACGTCAAGAAGGCAAAATATGCCATGTTAAAAGAATTTTTGAACAATCATTATTTATATATATCTTGTTGTCTCTGAGGGCTTTCTTACAATATGCTAGTAAAAAATAATTTAATACTTTTATTTACACATACAAAAATATTCATTTTTCATCATAGCCTGCACTTTTTAACTACACAATCTTCATGTTTCAACTATGTTGCATTTATTAGTGATTACATTCATGCACAGATATGCTATTCTAAATATATTATTTCTCATTAAAAATGGGTCTACTTCCCTGTTATTCTTAATAATTTTAAATAGCCAAACACTTATTCCTCAAGCATTGGTAAGGAATGGCAGAACCAACCAATCATTTAGCTGTCTTATCGCTGAAAATTTTCCAGTGGCCCAAGTCTACTGCACGGAATAGACTAAACACTTCATAATTAAAAATGTATTAATTCATTATAAAATTGCGTATTTTAAATATCTATCTATCTATATACATATATATACAAATTTTAAATTCATTTAGTTCGAAATCAAGTTATTCTAATACTTGCGCAATAGCTGCAAAGTAAGATAATAATAATTTATTTACTAAAATATTGATTATATTATCTCCTAATATTAATTTTAGTAGAAGTATCTAAAAAGAGTGAACCCATAGGTAGTAAGTTCGGAATTTACCCATAGGTAGTAAATTCCGAAAATTGTTTTAAAGTAACATGAATGTAAATTGCTAAAAATGTTTTACGGGGACTTGAATTAAATCATGAATCACAAAATTTCAATGGGAAAAAGAAATTAAATTAAAAGCAAGTAATCATTGCCACTGATCAGAAATTTATTGACTTTTCAAGGGGAACAAACCAACTCCCGTTCAATGAACAATAATTAATAAATAAATATGAAGGTGTTTCGTCCTTTACTCAAGTAATAAGGTGATGCCAAACTGACAAATTAAGTTAGGCCAAATATTTCCGTGAAGTGAAGGGATCCAGAACCAATGCAGAGCACCAAAGAACTCATTCTGATTAAGCATTTTCGCTAATACAATTTTGAGTGAAAAGCAATTTATGCAGTAAAATTGATAAATTACTTGAGTAAACGTCTCCCTGACACCCTCGTATTTATGCATATATATATATAACAACCTTGTATTTTTAGCGTACATATATTAAAACATTCTGTTCGCGCCTGCGCATCTGTAATGTAATCCACGCATGCGCATCTGTAATGTGATGATCTAACGAGTTTGAGAATCGCCATCGACGGTGTAAGAGGGCTGGTCACAGCTATGAGTTAATTGTAATTAATTATGAGAATTAATAAAGAATCGAACCAGCGAATTTATTTAGTGTGTGTTATTTGGGACGAGACCCAAACATATCCAATCGATTTCGAGGGCAGCTAAAAGTCCCTCCTCATCAGGAGAATGAAATTAACAAGGTTGTTATTACTATTTTGATTGTCACATTGGCTCTTTTCTCTTTTAGTCTATATACATTCAAGGTTTTGTTTATCCATTTACACATAAAAATTGTTAGAAATAATGAAAAAAGTTTCGTTAATATTTTCTTCTGAATAGTAACAACATTTGATGATTATTCTCAGTAAAGCACAAAATATTTTTGAAGCAGTTTTACTAAATGTAAGCACTACATTTTTCATAAATTATTGGATATCATGAGGGGGAAGACATTTCATTTAAAAATTAATTTGCACATACCATGAGGTGGTGAGTTTTCAGAAGGTTGTGCAGGAGTTTTAGATGGATCAACGTTTTCATCAAAGTCCTCACCAAACATATCTAATGCCTCTTCTGTATCTCCTGTACTACTTGGATCTGTTTTTTCACTATTTCTTTTAGAATCTACATAATAAGATAACTTTTCATATGTCTGTTGATAAATATCCATGTCTCCAGAGTGTATAATATCATCAGCCAGACTGGTAAGACGCTGGAGTTTTTCATAATCTTCATCTGTTTCATTGTCTGTCAACGAAGAAACAGCATCTTTCTTCTTTTTCCAACGGCTGCTGGCATTTCTGGAAGATGAACTTTTACCACCCAAACGGCAGATAGCCTTCTGGACTGTTTCTTTTGGTTGCATTAGTTTTAACATTTCAGTATAATGTTCTACAAGATTTATCTGTGGTGGTTCTTCATCACTGTCATCAGTGTCGTCATCTAGTTTTCTCTTAGAACCCTCTGTAGCTTTTACCTGTAAAATTACATTCTGTGAATAAATAAATACATAAATCAGCACATGAAGTATTACAAAGAGACTCTGCATGACTAAATAGCTCTTGAATGACATAATTTTTTAATAGTTTTAGTTCAATTAATAAAGTAAATTTTCAGACTATGCGAATTATCATAAAGTATTTTTTCATAAAACTATAGAAGGGACTCAATTTAAAAAAAAAAAAAGATCCAAAGATTCTATGATAAAGATTTATATTTCTCAAAAATATTTACCATTAATTTTAGACATTTACCCCAGCAAGTTACCAAAGGTACACTCTCATAAATGCAATAGCATTCTCTCTTAGTTTTTCTCAGAATTATTTTCAAACTCTCTCCTTCATGTTACAATCCATTAGAATGATTTTTCTATCTTTTTTTTTTTGATGAAATAAAGTTTTCTTCAAAAACTGTGAAATTGCAGGATGAAAGCTCAGGACTGGGTGGTGAGCGGGTACAGAAATTCCCAGTTCAATTTTTTCAGGAGATCTTTGGCTGCATTCACTGTATTGAGTCAGTTGATTTCAAGACGGAGATGAATGCTGTTGAAAAGCTTTCTATTTCTTTTTGACTTTATTGACTGTTGCAGTGAAGTCAATGTGTCTGCATGACATCATACATTCAGCGCAACTTAGAGTTTCCTAAAATCAATAACGAATGATTCTTCTCGGTCAAAGAATATCAGGTACAGGTAAAAGTGAAAATGACAATAGAATTTCACCATTGTTTGTACAGGTATTACAGTCTTACTTCAATAACTAGCAGTTCCTACCTAATTCTGAGGGATGACACCCCAAGGGCCAGTCTGAGTATCTCCTACTTCTCTTCCCTAAAATCATGCTCTCGAGAGGAATTTTGGCTTGCTATATATATTTTGAGTGCTCTCGTGTTGCACAGGCACTTTATGCTCACAAACATCCATGCCTTTTTCATGATTTGACCCCAGGCTTATTGGTATCACATGGCTGGGCTGCTATTAAAGAATATCAGTATCACCTTCCTCATATTTTTCTCACTGCTATTCAAAAGCATTGGCATTTTTTTGATTGGGGAGGGGGAATTTTTCCACTGAAGAAACTGGCTCTTTGGCTCAAAAGGATGACATCCTGTCTCTTGTCTACATCTATACATGATAGAAAGTCATTCCTTTCTATGGCATACTGCGGCAAAGTCATAACCACATGATATGCCTCTTGGTCACCAAACAATTTGTGAAACATCGATCATGCAAACTCAATACAACTTCAAATTATCCATAACAAGTACATGCACAATTTCAACACTTGAGCAGACAATGTCAGCTATTTTCTCGACTGTTGCAGGTGAGTTTTGTTGCATAAGTTTATTTACTTTTGCAAAATGGATTCTATGATTTATTTCAATACACCATATCACTCATTACCTCTACCAAAGAGGATCATTCTTAAAGGACTTGTACCATTACTTTCAAGAAACAAGGTCATCAGCTCTCTGTCACATCATCATGAAAAACAAACTTATCCCATTTACTATCACCATCAATGGTTCACTCACTTGCAGCAAATTGGACAGATTTCTTCACATTCTTCATGTTGATGTTATGAGAGAGTTGGACGGCCTTGTTTCTCGAAGGTCGTTTATTAGTACCATTCCTTTACCTATGAAAGTGATATGCAGTATTCCTCATATCCAACAGTCCTACATATGAATTCCAGTACTGCCTACATTTTCTGCTGTAAAAATAAACATTACCACTCAAGTGTTCTTCTTTTGATGTCTCTGTAACTTATCTCTATGTATCCGAGCTTGCATGAAGTGTAATGATTGTGTGAGCAGTGCACACAGTTAATTCATTACACCTGCATATGTTGATGTACAACTAGCTCCTTATCACATTGCATGAGTGTGGTATTCCCCATTAAACTGAAACTATTCTTCAGACATTTAAATAGCACTTCCTAAAATGCTGATTTCTCAAACCAGCATGCATCATTATTTATTTTATGCTCATTATGTCTAAATTAAACTTTTATATCGGCCACCAAAAATTTTGATGAAAAACTGTTTTTCATAGCTCAATTTACTAAAAAATATGCAACTTCATAAAATCAAGATAAGCAGAGATATCCTAACCAAACCATTTGGGAAACCACATACACAATGTTTCAAACACAAACTTCTGAAAGATGGCTTTGACATTAGAAGGAAAAAATTAAAAACATGGCTTTCAAATTTCTTATAGTAGAAATGTTAAACAATTAAAATCTTGTGTCTACTGCAATTTAATTTTTATGTACTACCTAAGATTGGTGTCTGTAAAAAACATTGTGGAGAAAAAACACAAATGGAAAATGTTATCATATGAAACATTGTGGCAAACAAGAAAGCAAGAAATAAACTTCACAGTTTTAAAACATCATCATATAAATATCGTGATAAAAAATAAATCACAAAAAAATCAGTGCACAATTACAATATCGTAGATATCAGTGTACAGTTATAATATCGTACATTGTATCTGGTTGTAGCAAAAGTTTTCCACCAAAAAACATTCTAGATAAAGTTAAGAAAAAAAAAAAAAACATGAAACAGGATCTTTCGTGCAGGTAGTAATCACCGCCCAAATGATTTTCTGCCAATGTTTTGGTAGTTTTTTAAAAGCCTTTGGCCCAGAAACTTGGTGGTTACAAGTCCAAAAATCAACCTCATTTCGGATGCCCTGTGCAGAATGGAAGATAGCACCTACAAGATGGAACTGCAGGCGTGAAAACAGGTAGAAGACCGAAGGAGCAATGGCTGGGCTATATGGTGGATATAGAAAAAGATCCCGTTCGACTTTGTACAGAGTCCAGCCAGTGAATTTCAGACACATGTGGTCTTGCATTATCCTGAGGGAACATTACATTTTTATGCTGCAACTCAGTTCGATGTTTTCTCTTGATAGTAGCGCCAACACAGACTAGCATCTCACTGTACACCATACTATCAAGGGTTTTACCTTTTCCCAGATACTCTTTGTGGATAATACCCCGACAATCCAACCAAATAGAAAGCATGATCTTCTTGTTAGTCAAATTGTACTTGGCGATGCTCTCAATGAGCTCACCGTAAGCACACCAACTCCCTTTATGGCCTGAGGTGTTGAAGTAAATCCACTTTTTACCACAAGTGATGATCAGGTCCAAAATGTTGCCCTTGCATTGATATTCGAGCAGATTAGTGCAAACCTGAACACTTCTGCCCTTAGCTGCTTGAATCACCTCATGCAGCACCCTGCGATTGAACTGGTAAGTCAAGTTTACACGAGGCATAGTGCAACTAATGGGCAAGGCACTAACATCTAACTCCTTAGCAAGCTCTTGAGTGGTTGCATACTTATTTTCTTCCACAAGTTCTTGCAGGTGGGCCTCAACAACATCAGTAAGCTGGCCAGAGCACTCTGCTTCTAGATTGTCTTCAGTCTTCGATTTTGAACTTTCAATACGAAAACTTGACAGTGTCATATGCTACAACATTTGTACCTAAAGCTGTACGCATGATTTGGTGACATTCTGTAGCTGACTTTTTGCAACAGAACTAGAAGTAAATGATGGTTCTAATCTGGTAGTGTGATAGTTCCATTTGAGACACCTTGAACTTTAATGATAATATTTTTTTACAAATTTCACAACATAGTATTCTGAAGCAAGTCTCTTTCTTTCAAATGCCAAAAATCGTTTGATAAAATATAATTAAACATGGCAGGGCAAACTGTTTGCGCAGACAATATTTGCAGTGACAGGAAACTTTTGTTAAAACCTGATACAGTCAGTGCACAGTTATATCGCAGATACGTTTTATGGCTGAAAATATTTTAAGTTGATATTTCTTACTATGATTTGAATAAGGAAATGGGGAATTTTATCCTTAATATTTTATACTTTTGAAATTAACTATAACATTTATTGAAATTTCAGTCTTATTTAAGCAATCAAAATCTGAAAGCTAGGAGAAATTAATGCTATGCGTAGCAGTTAATAAACTTTTAAATTTATCTTGTTAACTGCTAAAAGTTATTAATGCTCCGAGCATTACGGGTTTAGCCCTGAAATTTCAAAGTTCATCAAAATGTCATGAATAAGTGATATTTTCTTGATTTTAATTAAATAATGACTATCTTATTTTGTACCTTTTGTACATAAAATTCCTTTTCTTCCAATATACATCCAAACCAAAATCAAATACATTTAAAAGCATGTAAAAATTTTCATGTATAATGAATATAGAAAATAGTCTTCTGTAGGGAATTTTCCGGCCGTAATGCAGAGAGGGTTAATTAATTAACATCGAATTTATAAAGACTTATAGCATAACATCCAAGATTCAGAATATTCAGTACTTCAGAAAGATTAAGCTCGTGGTCCAGAGGTCTGGATATAAGATTACTCTGAATACTGGCACCAGAATTTCAGACTTTGCACTGTAGATTTTTATGAAAAAAATATTAGGGAAAAAAAGGGACAATACATAAGTTTAAAATTCTATTAACTGCTATTTAATGTATTCTATTAACTGCTATATCAATTTTTACTAATTTACATATTTTTAATACTTCTTGCTGTTCCAGTCAAAATGTATAAGGTAGTTTGAGAAATATGAAATATAGAAGAAACATATTTATTTTTTCTTATGTTTGCAAAACATTACACAGAAAATTCATTTAAAAGGTTTTCAGTCAAGAAATGCAAGTCTGCAGCGATTTGTAGGTGCTTAATTTCTTAACACAGTATTTTGTATAACAAACACAATAATTTTGCACTGCTTTTACCACAATGTTTTGTATGGCAATGGTTTACTCTTGGATTGTTTTCACCTGTAAATTTAAACTGACTTCCCCTTCCTATCTTGTAAAAGTTATTAACTTTTCTTTTCTTATTAACCAGCATAAAAGTTTTAACTTTGCATTTTCAATACAGGATCTCATGTGACCAAAAATTATTTAAATCATTTCTTAAACAAACTGGAAACCTTTATGCATTAGAGCAAATATACAAATCATTTTATCTATCAAAAGCCTTGTAAATTTGATTTCATTTAAATTCATATCATTATCACCTATTTTTCTGCAGTTTTTAGCATTGTCCAAATACCTGCAACAACTAGACTTCATGAAATATCATTGTTTAAAAAACATACAATTAATTCATCCATTTTCTTTAAAATGTAGCCATATTCCAGTTGAGCTGAGGGTAGCCATATTCCAGTTGAGCTGAGGGCATCTCCTCTTCCTTCACATCACTTTGCATCACTTCACATCACTTTGTACATTATCCATATTAGAATTACTTTTGGTAATAAATCCAGCTTCCGGGAAATGACAGCAAATTATAAAACAAATTGGTAAAATATATTTATGGGTGCCCCTTGGTGATAACTGGCGATTGTTTAACTGGCAAACATGGACACCGAGTTTGTGCAATTCTTTGATTTGTTATTGTGGCTTCGTATAGCGGCTATTTTCGTGCCAAAAATTGCCCTTCTATCTACTCTAACCAATAAATTATATACAGGAATAAAATACGCTAATGTATACAGGAATAACTTATTAGTTAAGGAAAAGAGGGAAATATTTTACCATGCACAATCAACAAAAGGAATTCAGACTATTATTTGAATCAAACTACATTTACCTAATTATTCATAAAGTTTTAAAACTCTTGTGCTATGCCCATTATTTTTCATCCCCTCCCAGTGAAATAATTAATAAAGAATGGGGAATATAAAATACACATTTTGGGATATAAATAAAAAAATGAGCATTGTAAGATTAGAGTGCACAATTATTAATTTTTCATCAGTTAATAAAAAAAAAACAAAGAAAAAGTTGAGCTTTCTTATCTTTTTTCATATATGTTTAACCCTTTGAGACCAACAAAGAAGTGCCCGATGTAACAAAATGGATAGTCCATAACATGCTGTTCACAGCTAGTTAAGTAAAATATTATTCATACACATACATGCAAATTATACACCATTTTAAAGCCATGACAAATAAATAAACTTATTAAATACCTTAATCCAATCAATATCTTCCAACCACTGATCTTTAATAACATCTGCCTCTTTGTTAAAGATGTAAGTACCTTCTTTGTCAAAAAAACCTTCTTCTAGTTCTTCCCTCATATTGAAAGGAGTAATTTTTATTTCCCCATCATAATCGATGGTTCCCTCTTCTTGGCCTGACAAAAATATATTTGAATGTGAGTACATGTATACTTTCAATGTGACATATTTAAATTTCAACTTAAAATATTGGATACTTTGATATTAGTCTATGCCCAATGATGCACTACCGATAAGCTCTATTAGTGATTTTTGGCAATGAAATATATTTTCAATTCCAATAGACTAACTAAATGTATTTTCCATTTCTAGATGATAATGTTTGGAAATCTCATTTAAAATTACACCATCAGATTGTTATTCTTTATTATGTGATACTTATATTATTATCCCTTCAAACTTGAAACTCATCAAACAGTGTAATTTATGGTCAATTATGGATAGGCATGATGTCATAACATCTGCACTTTCGTTTAATATCACCCTGATTGATTCTTGATAAGTCACCTTTCCTTTCTTAAAATTTATTGTTATTGCTGTGTTTATTTTTTGCATTTTGAAAACATGACTCTAAAGGCCGAAGAATCACATTTGTGACTGCATTCCAGTTCATTTACAGTTGGCTAAAAGAGCTAACGTCTGTTGAATGGGGAAAAGAATAGCAATCACCTGCACAAAGTTTGCATTCAGAGGATCGTAAACAGAGTTTCTAGTAAAATTGGAGGCCCTAGAAATAGTAGAAATTGATGAAAGCCTTTTTATGAACAAAACAAATTGAATACATCTGTAGTAGAGGCTATTTGAAGGATTAAACACAGAGACTGATGAAAAAATTTTTTTAAGAGTCACAGACAAAAAGGTGGCTCAAAATTTTCCAGGAATGATAAGCACAACACTCGCAGGATCTCTTTTAATTTTCACAGATAATTCGATAATATAATATGTACGCACTTATGCCAAATAAGCAACAATAAGAACTTTCCTCAAACCAAATCCAAATTTTGTAAACAGCTGTTAATGTTACACATCTACTGCATATCTTGCATCACATAAAACCATTATTAGATATACTATCTACCTTCAACAATGTGTCAAAAGAAACACTTCATGGAATCTTCGCTTCCAGGAGAGTTACCTGTTCGAGCTGCAAGGAAACCAGCTCTTTGGCTACGATGCGAAATAGCACAACACTTTTGCACTATAGAATGTTCCATACACTACTCGGAACAAAGCATCCAGTACAAATGCTTTGGATAGCAGCCCTTCCATTTAAACTAGTGCAGGGAGAAATTAGTTTCTCAGAAAAGTTTCTTCTAGCATAATGCATCACCAGATGCAATAATCCATAAGTTTCATAGAGTAAGAACTGTAACACTCCTGATTTTCTTTTCTGAAGAAATACTACAAGCTTGTAAATAACATATTGCTTCCCTTCTCAGCAAATCCAGTAAACACATGATTCAAAATGCATTAAAATTAAAATAAAAGGAACATATATTGTCCTAAGATCTTTCTGCAGGAAAAGGATTACACAAAGAAAGGACAAGTAGCAGGTAGAAGTTAACTGTAACTGAAGTCAAGTTAATATTGAAATTTAGAAAAACAAAGCAAGTTTTAATCTGCCTTATTCCAGAAAAAAAAAATCTGATGCAGACACCAAATGACTTCCTTGTACGGAATATTAAATTGTACGCATTTTTTCCTGCATTTCATTTAAACTTATTTCCTTGAAATTTTATTAGACATGGATTTCTCATTCAATTAATTCAGTTCTTGCTTCACAGCAAGGCAAAAATACATAAAACCTGAAAATATCTTCATTAAAAATTGAAAGATATAGAAAAACATAAAACACCAAATACAGTTGAAACAATTTAATTTTTTTATATAATGAAAATTAAGAATTTCTACACAAAAACACGCAATTTGTCCAGCAGGCAAGAAGGCAGATTTTTCCGTGAACAAAATTAAAAGTTTCCTTTTGGTTCCACTTGGCAAAAAGACACTGAAGATTCAAAAACTGAATTCACTATTCTGTTAAGTTTCAAATATAAACAAATATGGCTGCTATGGTAAAAAAAAATAGGCTTAGCTACACTTAAACAACTTTTAAATTGTTGATAATTCTATAACTATTTTGTGCAGATTAACTAAAGGCATAGAAACCTTAACCAGAAGATAACAACATAATTCAATCATTTTAAACGCAAAAAATGCACAATTTACAAACATAAAAAAATTTAAAAACTCAGCTCTCTGAGCCGAGTAACAGAGTAGATTGTGCAGCCAATTGCAAACAAAAAGGGGAAGTGCACAACTACATGTTATAGCAGTCCTATATCTAAAATTTCAATGCTCTGAGGCTACTCATTTTTGAGTTATGTGACATATGTACTTTGTACGCACAGGCACCATGAAAAAAAATCTTTTATGAATCCATTTTATATCAGTTTTACAATTTGTTTGGGGGAAAAGAGCCCTTTATTCTGTCCTTACATATAGATGTCACACAAAAAACATCGTCAAATTGCATTCCATAGTGGTCAAAATGGATATTATCATTGAAATAAGATACCCAGATTTTTTCATGATTACAATATTTCCTTTACTTCATACAAGGAAGGAAAAATACAGCACAAAGTCTGAAATCCGGATTCTTCAGGGCTTTAGTGATTCCTAATTATGGAATTTTTCAGATTTTAGATTATAAGTTTAAATCTTTTGAAATGAAATGAAAAATTATAAAATAAAAAATATCAAATAATAAAACATTTATGACCTTAAGGAAATCAAAATTTACAAAAGAATCTTAATATTTGTTTGCTTTATTAAAAATGTCTTTCAATGTAAGATAGTTCCTTCAGTTTTTGTACTAATACTTTCTCTTAGATTTTAGAGAGACATAATGTTTTATTCAAAGTTCCATTATTGAAATCCTGTAATTACCATGATGAGAATTCCCACTAAACTGTCAATCAACTTTTTTTTTTTTTTTTTTTGTTCTAAGCAACCTTTCTCACTTTCTTCAGTATTAGTAATAATACTTTCTGTATTTAGAACCATATTACATATTTTATCATTAGTTAGTTAACTGACAATTAGGGCACTGCCATCAAAACAGAAAACGTTTACTATACCATCTTCATTAATTACCACTTCTCCACATTTTTTCACAAATTTCATTAATTGGAAAATTTAGCTTTTTGTTTGTGATTTCTGAAAAACCTTCAAATTTGCAGCTATTGTTATAAAGCTTAGCTAGCATCCACTATATACTATTGGCATTGTATTATGAGATTTTGTCCCACTAAATTTTGTTGTGCTTCTATCATTACTGAGAAAGTTTCTGAATTATATTAGTTATTTATTATACTCATGTTTACTTCCCACATATATGTTTAAGGCTTATCTGAATCATGAAAAATAAATTCTCACACATACTTAAAGCACATATGAACAAAAAATCAGTTATTTCAAACAGCACTAAATGTAATCTTCTGACCAATGAATATCAAATACAGAATTTAATTTCTTTCCTTGCACATGGATAGAAATTACTGCAAAATTTCTCCCTCTTAACCCTTTGAAGAGCACCGGTATAGAATATATACCGGTTGTTTGTCAATTTTTTAACCTCCGAAAAAATGCTAAATTTTCTACACCAAAAGCTATAATCGTAAGTGTCTAGTATTTTCTTTCGATTCTAAATGGCAACATCACCCTATGAATGCTCAATATTTTACAGTTATGAAATTAATATACGTCGTTCCAAGGTATCATGTTGGAGGATTGATAAATTCTATTGGAGGGAAAGAAAAAATTCAAAATCTGCAAATATATGACGTACACATGCTGAATCTTATATATTTACTTCATTTCAGTCAGAAGTGATAATTAACAGCAGATTATTTATACGATTTTAAAACCGGTATATAGCCCACACTGAGGGTACCACGCCAATAGACGGCAGCACCAGTCTTCTCCTTTTCTACTCTGTGACGTGACAGAATTTCTTTATTATTATAACAGTTTATGATGTAATAATATTTCATGATTAACTTATAAGTCGTTTAGGATTAAATATTATGTTCATGGAGGAACGGGGAGTTTTCTGACTCCCTGTTCTTTGTGTACTCAGCTCAAGTTTCATTCGTCTGTATTTAGCTAAAATTTTTATTTCAGCACTTATCTCTTTCCCAAGAGAAAGACTCATCGATTTCAAAATTGGCGTCTGGGGTCAAAACTTCACACAATTGTGGGGGTTAAATGTGGCATGCATGCTAGCCCCCAAAAAGACACCTGTTGCTTCCTGTTTTCCAAAATCCTAGAATGTAAGAATATGAAAAGAGGTGATTGACAACTAATTTGTTTTTCGGGAGCCAGGCCTTCTTCCCTTTGTGAAGTGTGATCTTATCACACTTCACAAAGGGAAAGCTCACTTAAAATGGAAATGTATTTAAGGTCTATCTCATAGTGTAATCACAAAAACTGCTGATTTGAAAGCATGCTTTTATTCTTTAGGGAAATTCTTTTTAATTCTTTGTTAATTTCAGATGAAAGACTAGAGAACACAAGAGAAATTTGCGCTCTGGTTGATACAAATAGGTTGTTTTGGAAATAAATTTTCACAGTTGGTGAAAGGAGGAAAAATATTTCTAAGCCCCGTTTTAGATGCAAAATAAATTTATCCAAAAGTTGAAAAGGATCCCCTATGAAGCCAAAGGGGTTGAAAATCAGAATAAGAGCTTTGAGGTGTATCAAATAATAAAATTGTTTAACGGTGTTTCTTCCTGAACAAAAAGATATATTACAACCTATATTTACAAAAAATAAAAAAGTCACCCTTTCGGTCCTCCGTAATCTAAAGTGTGTGTGCGTGGAGGGGGGGGGCAATTCTTCGTATCATAGTATGTAGCATGGTTTTTTTCACATATTATCTAAAGCATAAAATACAACTTCAAAAATGCAACATACTTTCTCAGCTGAGTCGGTCGTAGTGCTTCATTTTTCAATTTTTTTAAAATTTTCGGCTGAGTTACATCTGCTTGTAATATTATACTAGTTCAGTAACAGCATGATACGATTTACACATGCAGTGTTATATTTGCTAATTTTT